CCCCTCAACAACCATACTGCCTAGAAACCACCCCTAAGCCCGTAAACCCACCTGAGCTCCAAACCCTTCTGGTTCTGAAAGCCCCAAGACCTCACGAGTTACAATGTGTTGCGCTGCCTTGACCTCGATGGACTCCATGAATTTGCAGAAGGGCGTATCAGGAGCCTGGCAGCTTTGATCTCCCCCCAAAGGACAGGGTTTAGGGCTTAGGGCGGCTAAGGGTTCTTGTTATGAGGATCCCCCCTCCCCCCAAACAAAAGCAGGTGGATCCTCAGCTTCCAGAACTGCACAAGGAAGCTCCGCAGATCTGCCCGTGTTCCAGAGTTTTGCAGTTCGATCCTGCCTTTCAAATGGGCACTCTCCAAGGGCAAGCGGGTGGCAAAGGCTAAACTTCAAGCTTGTTCCCTCTCCTATGAATCATGTTCGCCTGTTCACGTTCCTTTTTTTCCGGAGCAGATTTCTGCAAATAGTAAGGTATTCGAGCCCCAAGAGCTCTACCCAAAAAGTTCCTCTGATAATTTATTGATCCCTGTGATAGGCACCTTACGGACTTGTCACGCTTATGCTCCATGTTGTTCAGAGTGCGGCCGATGCGGTAGACATGCGAACTCTGAAGCAAGCTCGGCGCACCGCTTGGGGTACCACCTGGCCGTCCTGCATCTGGAAGCCTCAGATGCATTTAGAGCTGGTTTTTGTCGCTGCTGTCCCTGTGCTTACCACATCCATTATCAACTACTAGTTTCTCCCTTTATTCACTCAGGCGTGAGCGATGCTCCACACGACATGGAAGTTTGGGTTCTGCACTTCAGCTTGGTCAGTGTGCCACAAGGCATCTTGCGAATGTGTTGGATACTTGCTCATCGGTGCATGACCTACAAACAGAGACCCCATTCCTGTCTCTGGGATGGCTCCAGTCCAGAGCCAAGACTCTTTTGATGTCTCTCTTTTATTGACAATCCGGCCTACTACGCATGTGTCCGCGCCTGCAACGCGTACTATAAAGGCGTAAACAACTACCAATAAAAACTTGAGGTGTGATTGAGATACCCTGTATATGCCATAGTTGCACAAAGATTCTGGAACCATAATTTTGGAAATTATCAACCCTCTACGGCAGCAGAAATTTCCACCATGAACGCAGCTCGGGGGCTGCAGTGGCTCGGAAACTCATTCACATACCTGGGAATGGCGAAAGTGCGGAGAATACATGCTCTGTTCAGATTTCGTACGCTCTAATAGGACATCTCAATCAGAGCCATGATTGCCCAATGCTACCGAGGGCACCCAGATTTCTGTGAACGTAGAACCCTTCGAAGAATCCCATCCTAAGCCCCGTGAGCCCAAAAGCGCGCCTGGCGTTTGCAGTTCCCTCGTGGGTATCTTTCTGGTTGTCGCACTTGTCCTGGCAAGAAAGCTCTCACCATTTTGGGCTGCTTGTGTAGCGGATGCCCAGACCAGCAAGTACCACTGAAGCCACCCCCTTTTGCGAACTGCCTCAGGATCTTTGCGAATCTCATGCTGACAGCGTGTATACGCACGAAAATCAATGTTGCAGGAACTCAGGGCGTGCTGCAATACTGCGTGCTGAAAGAAGGATGCAGGCACCCTGCGCGGTTCGTTTTCAAAGGATGTAGACCAACAGTCTGTCTGTTCTAGCTGGTATCTTTCGCCTTCGGTACAGCCAAGCAATCTCATGGAAGTGGTTCATTATCTTCACATAGTATTGTAGTTATTACTATTATCACTGATCACGACATTCTTGCCTGTATAGCTGCAAGTCTCCAACTTCCCCCCGACTGATCTGCACCATGCGATCTCGTGCGAGTTCGTGCACCACAAACTTCTCTTGCGTGCGATGAAATGCGATCTCATCTCCAATCTCATCTCGTGCGCACACTCCGCCCCGACCAGATTAGACCAAGTACGGCCTGAAATCATGATTGTCATTAAATTACTGTGCGTACACCACTACTACTACTACTACTACTACTCCTACTCCTACTACTACTACAACAACAACAACAACTACTACTACTACCCCTACTCCTACTCCTACTCCTACTCCTACTACTACTACTACTGCTACTACTGCTGCTGCTGCTGCTGCTGCTACTCCTGCTGCTACTACTACTACGACGACGACTACGACTTCTTCTACTACTACGACGTCCTAGGCCCCTGTACCTTCCCCATCTTATCTTCTATATACATAGTTCAGTACCCCAGAAAAGGGGTATGACATAGGGTTTTTAGGTGTTATGGCACCTAGTCCAACATGTCCTCTCCAGCGAAGCTGCAGTGATCGGAAGGGTGAATGTCTTTGCTGGCAATGATGGTGGCGCCAGCATCCTCAGCACATTCAGCTGCTCTGATGATCTGACTTTCTGCGAGGATACCAGGAAGTCTACCTGAAGCAATAGTACTAAGAAAAATGAAGTCTGAGTCTGCACTGCTGGCTGTTGCTGACATTGCCTTGTGTGAAGCTCACAGGCCTATGACGTAAATCAACCAACTGACATAGCCCATCCTGCCGCCTTGCCCAAACCGTCCAACCAAACTCCATCTCTCGCACTGTATGAAAACAGAACTGGCCTTTGGTTCGCTGGGAATGAAGGAATATGGGCGAAATTCATGTAGGGACCGCGAATTTGATAGGAACCCCGACATGGGCACCCACATTTATACTGATTTAGACCAATCCCCATCTAGAATCTAGGGCCTTTAGGTGGGATCCTTAATGGGGACCCTTGTAGCTTATTGTGGGTAAAATGGGTACTACCTGGTTATATAGAGGATATATAAGGCCTATATAGGGTCCCTCCTCACAACCTGTGATAGAAGCATAACCGCAGTTTGGCAGACCAAGGCTCTGCAGCTTTTGATATCAGCTCCTTCGTCTTCCTGGAGAGAAGGTCACCACAGAAGGGACGCACATCCACATGAGCTGTAGTCTAAACTCCTAGTATCCACCTTAACAACCCCTGTAGTAGTCCCCTGCATCATCCCTGAAATAAGCCCCATAATATGGAGTTTTGAGTGTGGCTCACATGATTCAAAGGCCTAACTGACTGGAATGGGCTTCTGGGTCCCCCTTGAGTAGATAGAATATGGCTTTGGGTATCCTATAGTAAGATCCCCATATACCCCATATTCTATCTACTTAAGCGGGACCATAGGCCTTTAACTTCTGGCCACAAACTTTGCCGCCTGCAAATGGCAACCTCATCAACCTTCATGTTCCTCCATATGAGCCATAGTCTAAACTCCTAGTATCCCCCTTAATAATCCCTATAGTAGTTCCCTATATAATCCCCTGTATAACCCCCCTTTAAGGAGTCTAGACTATGGCTCATATAGCCTCTTCAAAGCCAATATTCTTTTGGAAGGAATGCTCAAAGATGGATCCATATTGTCACACCCTAAGCCCTAAACCATACTGAAACCCTAAAACGCCTGCAAACCCTGAAGCCTGTAAACCCCAAACCCTGAAGCCCATAGACCCTAAAGCCTTTAAAGCCTAAACCCCAACTCCTCAAGCCGAACAAAAGCCCAAGTTGTGAAATCCAAGCCGAAACCCTAAACGCTTGGCTCCTGAGGAAGGTCTCGCCTCCTTTACCCCAGCAGGGCTGTGAGAAAGAGCCCACGGTGAAGTCCTGATATGAGCAAAAGCCCAACACTCCTTAAAGGGGTTCTATAGGGGAGCATTATAGGGTTTCTGAGAGGGATATGTGAAATCCTGACATGGACTTTTCCCGATTAAGGAGTACCATTTTTGGGGGTCCTCATTAGACGCGTTATAGGATTTTGGGGCCTATGATGGATCCCCGTTATGTAGGGAAACTGCTAGATGGTGCATGCGAAGAATCCTTCACATTACCTTACCCTAATAGTAATGTAGAATCAAAGGAAAAAGCAAATGAAACATTACATGGACACTCTGAAATGACAAAGGTTTATGGTGTTGATACTACAAATCCTGCATGACGCTTAGTACCTTATCATCGTGGAATTATGGTGCTATAGTACCTAGAGGTCATGCCAGTCTTTTTGAATTAGTATCAACAGTATGTGATAATGGCAGCACTCGGACTGTTGCTTCACATGAGTCGCACAAGGCCATGGCCTCAAGAAGTTCTGGGGGTTGTACTGTAGTGGCTATTTGGTAATGCTCAAAATTAGGGGATCCCAATATAGACCCTTCATGTACTAGAACCCTTATTTTATGGACCCTAAAAAACCCCCCACCCCCATCTTTGGGAATACAGGCAGTCCATGGAAGCCCTGAACCCCTAAACCCTAAATCCTACATTGCTACTGGCAGATTGGGCCTTCTGCAGGTCAATGATGACGAGTGCTGTGTTCTTGTCGAACAAGGGTGCATCGGTATTCCTGTCGAATGCAGCAAGGCGCTTCTGCGTCGCATGGAGGATGTTTGGTGTGAGGTTTCGGCGTGCTATAGAGCTGGACTGGGGCGGCACGTTTCTCCTGCATCTACTTCAGCTTGGTCCAATCTCTCAATTTGCAGAACGCCGATGCAAACCAGAAAGCAGCAAGCCCATGCTTGTGCCAAAAACTAAGTGAACATGAGAAGGGTGCGCGATGAACCTGCGACAAGACTTGGGTTCCTTCGGGAATGCGTTGCAATGCCCCAAGGAAACAGCCCAGACTTTGACTCCAACCCTGTAGTCCCAGCGGTTCACGGTCCTGACGTCGTGCTTCATCGCATTTTCGAAAACGAACTCATCATAGTCGGTGCCATACATGCAGCATGCTTGGGAAGCTGTGTCCTCCCATCAGGAAGGCGTCTAGTCTCATCACCCAACACTGCATCTGCAAAGGCCACATCCTTTGCGATTCTGGTCTTGTCCCCGATGCCCCTGCGGGCTCTTCATGTCAAACTTCTTTTCCATTCTCCCAATATGACCCCAATATAAACCCTATATAATACAGTAGTTTCCATTTTCTTTTCCATTATCCCTATATCAAAGAGCTGAAAAGCCTCACCTCGCTAGCCTTCCTTTTGAGCCAAGAAAGTCCTGCACTGCGAGGACTGCTCCGATGCGAGACCCGGGGTCCTGGCAGAGGCAAGCCATAAGCTTTTCTTTCGTGTAATTAGTAGGGAATGATTCCCTCCCCCTAGTAACACACCCCCGCCCCCTGATATTCAAGATTAATACTAGGGGGAGGAGATTAGTAGGGAATAATAAACTTTACGGTTCCCTGTAGCATCGCCTACATAATCCCAAATAATGCACTAGTTTCAATTTTCCATTCCTTCATCTCCCTACGAACCGCCAGCAAGTCATTGGCCATGTCTTCATCTTGGATGCTTGACACCGTGAACATTGTCTGACGCTTCTTTACATGGCATATCACGACGAGGGTGCCTGGTGAGCTATTCAATTGTGATTTAGCATCCCTTCCCTGACAAACCTTGAACTTGGGACGTGCTGCAATGGCTTGCTTGTCATTTTTCACCTCCTCCTAGTCCATTGCAGAGTTGACGTTGAATGCTTAATCAGCGCCAAAAAAGATTTCAAGCATGGAAGTCAAGACCATCAGAACTTTGCAGTGCGCTGACCACTTGCATGCATGGGTTGCAAAATGACTTCCCGCATTCTTGGGATAATGCAACGCTGGTCATGTTGGCCTGCAGGGCACCGATCTTGCTCAGCTGGGACTGCACGGACGCCTTTGCTCAATGAGATTTTGGGAGTCCGTGACAGGCGGCCACTGTGTTGCGGCTGGTCATGACACTAAGCTCTTACGTGCTAAATGAGCTTCTCCAGGGAATGGGCACGAGGCATCAACAACCTAAAGCAGTTGTGAGCCTTCCTATAGCCTACCTGATGAGACAAAGAGGAGATGTCGTTGATTTCGAAAGCTGAATTTTCCCCAAAACCCTGAACCCTTAACGCGTAGTATCCGTTTCAACGCTGCCTTATGCTGCCCCAACCTTGGACGCCGTACCCTTCAACAAAATGTCCTCAGAGATTGGCGCCCCGTCGCCGCGCAAAGTATACGGAAAGTCAACGGATAAGTCTAGTCCCCCTCAAGAAGATATGGAATATGGGGTATATGGGGATCTTACCATGGTCTTGGATAGCTCCAAATGTTCTATCTACCTAAGAGGGACTATAGTATTGTGGAACATGGCCCCTTGAACTGGGTTCCCTGACTTCTTAACCACAGCCATGTCCAGTTTCATTAGCATTTGATCCCCATTTCCTAATTGTTTCTGTGTACTGAATCTCGCCGGCTGTCTTTGGCCATCCTAGAGCAATGGCATTTGTCTAGCACAAACAAGAAAAATCATGTTTCTCCTGCCAAATATGTGGATCTAGGGGGAAAAGCCTTGTCAAAGGCCCTTTCGAATTCATTCTCCCCCTGATCTGCATATGAGCTTTTCACGCAATATCCCCGCCTGCTTCTGAACCCTTTTCATCGCTTTCTATTCCCTTCAATTCCTTAGCCCCTCCAGGAACTTCTGCGTTGAAATAGCAGGCCCAAAGCCCATAGCCGCAAGGCTGGATTTTACCCAAAGCCTCTTCCAAAGCACAACTACATAAAGTATGTCATCCCTACCTAGAAACCAGCACAAATCCCAAGAAGGAACCACATAGGAACCTTTGGGTAAACCCAAGCCCCAAAAACTTCAAGTTCACTCCATGGTGCGTTGCAGTACTCGCTGCCTTTCGGAGCATTGCAAGGCTCCGCGTCCTTGGCAGAACGTCGAAACCGTGGGTCCGATTTTGCTTGAGGGGTGTCTTTACTAAGGATTTACATTGGTGCTCGCTAAACAGATGCATCACAACAACATGTTTTCTTGGAGAGAGGTTTTGGGGACGGTTTCGGGATGTAGGGTGTAGGATGCAATGTAGGATATACGGAGTACTTAGGGAATTTAGAAAATCGTGTATGGATCAGGGCTTCTGACCTTTTTCCAGGCTTTCTTTTCGAGGAGTGTGGATGCGATACTGGGATTTAGGAGTTTCCAGGGCCCCGGATTTCAATGCGGCATAAGTGGCATTGGCGATGTTGAAGCTTCATTTGACTACAGGCAGCTTCCATGACAACGCACACTCAAAGCATCAAACAACTGATCTGGCCCACAGACAGTGGTTCTTTGTGCTGCCAGAAAATGAACGAGCAATGTCTGACTGTACGTCCCTGCATAGTCCTTGCGCAGGACCCCCCACAATGTCCTGCTATCTCTGTGTATCTGCATGCTGAGTAGGCTACCTCTAGTCTGTGAATACCCCGATCAGCAATGTAGTGGGAAGCCGTCCGATGTCCTGCAACAATGTAATTTCCAACAGGGCGGGACTATGGTGCCCTCAGCTGTTTGAGCGCTCCCATCCTGAATAAGAGAAACTGGCTTTTGGTGAAGGCAGCTGGGTGGCGATGACATAGCCGTCAGTGTCCCGGATAGTGTCCAGAGACAGCCTGCCAGCGTCCTGAGCTGGTCAGATGGGGTGGAGAAGAAAATGGAAACGACTCTTGTAAATTTTTGATATATATATAATAGTATATGGTAATATATTATAATATATATTGTAATATATTTGCCAGCAAGCGAAGGTTGTTAGGAATCGTTGGAAACAGGACAGGGCAGATTGTACGATGGTTCCCGTTCCGGGTCAATTTCAGCAGATGGTCCCTCATCTGTTGGATGTGCAGGAAGGACCCGTGACCTTGACAACCCCTAATTGATCTGTAAAGTCCACGTGCAGAACTGAAGAGCCACTCACAAGACTACCAGTGTGCAAAGGTAATCAATGCCCGGAGCTCGTTGCATACCTGAAATCTTTGACCATATGATCTTAAGAATTCCAGTTGGCCGAACAATAAATCGAAAACTTGACAAGGGGGACCTGTATTATTAATAAGGGAACATAACCCTTGTGTATACACACACATATATATATATATGTATACATATGCTTCCCCCTCCCCCTCCCCCCCCGCCAAACACTTGTAATCCTCCTGTCCGAACCCACTGCCAAGGCACATCGCGAAGGCTCAAGGCCAAGCCAGGCAGCAATGCGAAGCGCAACATGGCAGCAACAACAAAGAGCTGCAGCAACAGATGTCAAGGGTACTTCATGTGATGCAGAGTTTTCCGACTCGGTAGTGGCACAGAATTACAGTTGACTCAACCGATGTAAACGGCATGAAAGCACATGAGGATTTCATGTAGCGCTAACCCACCTCCGGTGAGTTTGCGTGTTTGCGAAGTATGAAGAGGACTCCCCAAGCAACGAATGGCTTGGGCCAGAACAGTTCAATGCTGATTGCTTGCCAGGGCATCCAGAGACGAGCTTGCGGTTGTGTGTACGGGCCATCTTCTTGGTTTCTGGCAATTCTGACACGGCTTAAGGCTTGAATTCTTGGATAAATGCTAGCTGCAATCTATACCCCGAATCCTCAAACTTGCAGTAACATGACAACAGTCTGTGAAGGTACGGCGCCCAGCATCTCTCATGTTGAGTGTTAGGAAGTGACTCAGCCTCGCCCTCGAATTCTGTCGACTGGTTTCCACCATGTCTTACGAGGGAACCATCCAAACTCACAAAAAAGCAGAACCAGATTCTTGTGAACGCTTGGAATTGTTTCAATGCCAGAGCTTCGAAGCCACAACTTTACCGCACAGAAACCCACGTGCCAATTTGGACCATTCATTTCCTCCGAAGGCATCCGAAAAACTTGAAGCTTAGCTTTGTTTTTAGAGCCTCCATACTCGCATATACCTGAATGCTTCAGGGCTAGCATTTGCATGTTTATTGCTGCTGTGACGATTTGGTAAACTTCTGACAGCTGTCATCTTTCTTGAGAGTCTTTCCATTCTCAATCCCAGCCCGCATGTTCGGGCTACGCGGCCGCGAAATGCCATTCAGTGCAGCAACAACAACGCTGAAGCTTCCATCGTGCCTGCAGGATGGAAACGTGAAAGCTGTTGCTGAAGCTAACGAACGCATGCAGCAGTACTGATGGTGTTGAGGGCTCTCTGAAGCCAGGGTCCCACTAGCACAGATCAATCATGCGGAAGGGCTCCAGCGCATTTCCTCATAGGGGCGCAGGGTTTGGTATCAGCTCAGCCATCCAGTTCTTCTTTTGTCCTTGCCCCTGCCGTGATAATGCCAAATGATGATAATTTCTGCTGATTTCTGCGCCTCGTCGATCTGCGCGTTGAGTGGGCTTGTTCTTCAAAAGGGCATCCTGAGTGATCATGGAGGTAGCTCCCTTTGCCAGCGTAGGTACAAGATAGTCAAAGCAATGACACTTGCTTACCCCGGCGAGCATTTTGCTGCGTAGATGTGCCGGGTACTGGGCTATCACGTCCTGGCACAGCCCTGGGCTCGGCTAGACACAAAGCCCGGGCTGGAACTGTACAAGGCGCAGATATCTTTGCGTCACCGCTGCCGTCTGGCAAGTACGAGGCTCAGACATGACCTATCTTCACCGAACAGTACACAATGCTTGATGATCTAGAGCTTGAGATCTACCGGCTTGTCACTAGTCTTGTCTTGTTAAAAGCTGCTGAGTGTGCGCCACAAGTGAACGATACTGGCCCGGGCAGGGGTTTTGCAGATGAAATTTGTTGGTGCTCAATGCGGAGCGGGCAGTGCGCTCCGCACCAGCAAGTCAAGCGGGCTGTGCGGGGTCTCACAGCCAAGCTGGAACGGTGGTTTACAGAATTGTTAGGAAAGAATGTCAGGTTCGTCCTCAGATCCCAACATTGTGCCATCTTGTGATGTTCTTGAGGGCTGAGAAATGCTGCAAGACTCTTGCACGGAGACAAACCTGCAATGATCCTTGCTTGTTGGCTAGGGAAAGCCTTGATTCGCGCTGCCGGCTCACCAGTGCACCTTAGGACAAAGCCAGGCAATCACACAACCCACAGCTCTGGCTTCAAGCATTCGAACTACAGGCTCTGGTGAGGCCAACAGCATAGAAGTGCACCTTTTGGGGCAATGACGTGGATGAAGGGTGACCAAGGCACAATCGAACGAAGTCTTCTTCTGAGCTGACCCATCCCCACAACCTCCGCTGGAACCTGTCCGTGCATGGCCTGCTCCGCCATGGCAGGCATGGCAGGTCCTGGTGGAGGTGCCACCCACACTTCCGCCTGAGGCTGAGCCTGGGGTGCCCGAGGCTCCTCCACCTCTGCTGCTATTTCCTTGCAGGCTGCCTTGATGTGCTTCTTGTTCAAATACGCGGCAGACATCCAAAACAGGACTTGTGCCAGGACAACCCAGCAGGTCTGCTCGCTTGAGAACTTCTGCTTGTCCATGTACAGGGAGGCCCGCAACAGCAAAGCCACGAATTGCAACATGATGATGATGGCGCTTAGGTGTTCCTGCCTCTGCTCAGCCTCCACCCCCGTCAGGAATAGCGAGTGCATGCACATCAGCAGCGCATTCAGAACGACCTGCAGGCTCGTCAGCTCCAAGTATAGCCAGGTAGAAATGCACTGGCTCACCGCCAAACAGCTCAGGACGAAACCCAACACAGTCCACGCAATTGCTGGACCTTGATGCTGGAAACAGTAGAGGAAGCTGGCGAAGAGCGCTGTTCCCCTTACGAAGGCAATGAGATTTCCTGGCACGATCTGCAAGTGCCTCATCAACTTCTCTACCTTGTCGTATAGACGGACGGCCTCGCGCAGCCGCAAAGGATCCCGGTGAACTCTGCTCAACGCAATGACCACGATGAACGGCACAGCCAGGATGACGGCAAGGAAGTCTGGCTTGAACATTGCAAGTGCTTGGAGAACCCAGCCCATCAAACACACGATCTTATGGTGGAAAATGATGTGGCGAGCACTGGTGGCCGCGAGGAGGGGGAGTGCAGTTAGGGCTGGATCGGTGCTGCTCAGGCAGAAGTACAGCGCCAGCACGAACAAAGGTGGAATCAAGGCACCAGTTGCAGTGCACAAAGAAACGTGGTGCCATTTCAGTCCCCCTTGACCACCATCTGCCTGCGGCTGGGCCTGGACATGGCCTTCGTGGGCTTCCGGAACTTCCGGGTCTTGGGGCGGTGCCGGTGCAAGGCTTTCAGAGTCTGGCGGTCCGAGTCGTACCAAACCCTTCAAGCCTGACAGCTTCCTGTCAAAACTATCCATGGCGGCGCCTGTCAAACTTTGAAGCAGGCTGTGTTGAGGCTCGCTTGGCATATCAACATCTGGCTCGGATGGCTCGGTAGGCTCAAAAGCCTCAGACTCCCCCACTTCTGACATTCTTGCTGAAGCAAGATCAAGCAGAGACTGGCTGAGGCAGTTACTACCATGAACGCACTCAGGCTCGTCACCACTTGCAGCCTCTTCCTCCTCCTCCTCCTCCTCATTCTCTTCGTCTTGACCTGCGAGGATCTCTAATGCCTGCGGGGCTGGTGCAGCTGCCATGCCCTCTTGCGAAATGGCAACCGAGACGAAATTTGAAAGATCCGGGGCAACGGCCTGCCAACGCTGCACGAAATCACAGGAATTCTCCAAGGCAGTATGGCTGATTCGGCAAATACGCCGGTCTCCCTGCAGGGCATAGAAATGGGCGCTGTCCGCGGCAATGGCTCGGAGCTTTTCTGAGGGACAGCTGGCATGCAATGTCCAGTACTTGTGTGGCGACTGTCGAAACTCCACACTCAGCAGGTCGGAGATCGGAATCTTGTGGATGCAGCGCTTGCTGAACAAGGCGTAAGCCATGCCAGAAGCAAATGTGATACAACGAAGGTAAGAAGCACGTGAGGGTGTTAGGCAGTCCCACTCTGCAGCGGCGTCCATGTCCTGCAAATCCTTGATGTACAGGTAGCCGTTGACGCTCACCACAAAAAGCTTAGCAAGACCGTCCGACTCCAGCGTAGCCACAGCTTTGGCTTTGTCCGGGAACCTCACCTTCGCCCAAACACTGTCATGTGACGACTGGAGAGCCAGTCTATGAAGCTCATGGTCCACAGTGACGGCGAAGAGGGTCCTGCTCGAAACGGCCACGGCCATGTAGCGTGAGGCTACTGTGCTAACACTGGTTGATTTTGAGGAAGCCGGGTGCAGGAGCCACGAACGCGGGCCTAGTCGTTCCATGAACTGCTGATAGATCAGGTTGTCCTGGCCTATTGCATAAACCTGCCGGCCACTGAAGGTCTTGTCTTGTATGTGTGGCGCCAGCTCTGCCAGATAGTCCACATGGCACACGGTACACAGCACAAAACTCTGCTCGTTACTTTCCACTTCCACCTGCCCTGGCGTTGGGCTGCAGTCGGTGGAACATGGTCCGCCCTGCTTCTGCCCTTCCACCTGCTGACAGCAGGCAACGCAGAAGGGATATGCAGGCCTCTCCTGCAGTTGAGGATTCACCCTTTTGGCCTCCTTAGGGGGCACATGCATACCCAAGTCCTTGTAGACACTCCTTGCATACTGAACAAGGAGGTCAATCCCCTGCTTGCGGAATTGATCAAACCGATTCTCGCGGGACTCCTGCTCGGTCATCTTCCACAAATTTGCTGTGGCGTGAGTGTGCTTCTTCATCTCTTCCTTCAGCTCCTGGTTCAAGTGGGCATTGTCTTCGGCGCTGAGCTCGAACTCGCCCGCCCAGGAAGGCTCGCTTCTGAAGAAGGAAAACATCCAGCTCAAGATAGACTTCTCTTCTTCATCCTGCGAGGACAGAGGCCTGTGCTTATTGATGTCATGGTCCAAGTACTCCCGGCCACATACTACTCCACCGTGCTCAGGTGACACAGCTGCACACTTACAGTAGAGGGCCTTCACATACAGGAGAAGCTTCTCATAAAGTTGCTCCGCGCGCTTGTCCCGGAGATCTTTCGGAAAGTGCTGCGCTCCTTGACACACATATTTGAAGGCCAACCACCTTGCGGCCAGAAGAATGGACATCTTGATCGACCTGGAGCGGACTGACTTCAGCGAGTGGCTGTTGACCCCACACGTCCGGCAGATATGCGCCTGGATGTCTGCAAAGACTTTGTTCAAGAGCAACTGGTCATCGTCAGGGTAGTCCTTCATGTAGGACTTCAAGGCAGCGGTGAGGGATGGTATTTCACCGTTCGCAC